ATATTTTATTAAGGATTTTCTTGTTTTACAGAAGTAAGTGTACTGCCTCGTATATATATTTTTTTCATGTAACATTTTTACAAATCCATTTCATTTGTTGAGGCATTAGGGGGGAGAAGAAAAAAAAAGGAAAAAAGAAAGGGGGGTGGAGAGAGGGAAGATGGATGGGGGTGGGGTCGGGTGGCGGTGTTTCTATTATGTTTAATGTATGTAGAGTTTGGTGTCAGCGTTGCTTGTGTTGTTCACTTGTGTTCCTTTCGTGGTGAGAGAGGTTGGGGTTGGCCTAGGGTGTGATTGTCTGCTTGTGATTGGCTGTGGTGATCTTTGTTTTCGTGTGTGAGTGAGGTGGGTGGGTGTTTTGGATCAGGTTAGCCATATTGATTTGTATGCTGTTGGTGGATTATTGTCATTGTCCTGTTGGGCTGTGTATGTGATAAAGGGGAGCCATACCAGGGTGAAGACGTCTTCTTCTGTTTGTCCCCGTGTCAGTTTCAGTTTATTAGTTAATTTTTCTAGTAGGGCTGTTTCCCATACTATTTGGTACCATTGGTCCATGTTTACTCCTGACAGGTCTCTCCAGTGTCTGGTTATGGTGTTTCTGGCTGCTGAAAGTAGGTGGGTTATGAGTTCTTTGTGGTGTAAATGGGCATTGTTGTCTTGGAAGATGTTTAGTAGGGCCAATTCTGGGGTGATGTCTATTACTTGCTTAGTTATTTTACATATTTCTTGTATGGCTGTTGTCCAGAATAGTTGGATTTTGGGACACTCCCACCACATGTGGAGGTATGTGCCTGTGGAGGTGCACCCTCTCCAGCATTTTGGTGAGGTTCCTGGGTGTATTAGCGCTAGTTTCCTTGGTGTTAGGTACCACCTGTAGGTGAGTTTCAGTGTGAGTTCTTTTCTTTTCGTTGATATGGATTTAAAGGGGGGTTTAGACCACATTCTGGTCCATTGAGTGGGGTTAATCTCATAGCCTATGTCATTCTCCCATTGTTTTTTGATTGCATCTAGGGGATTTGCGGGATTTTGGAGTAGTATTTTGTATATTGCGGATACCGTCCCTTTACCGTTTCCTTTTGTTGTTAGGAGGAGGTTTTCGAAGGTTGTCAGGGGCCTAGTTGCTGCTGATTTTACTGTTGGGTTGTTTAAGAGGGCATGTAGTTGGTGTTGTGTTAACCAGGGCATTTGGGTGTCTTCTAGTTTGTCTTGTATTTCTTGTGTTGACAAGGGTTTGTTATTTTTATAAAAGTCTATTAGGCGATATAAGCCTTTGGTTTGCCAGGTTTTTATCTGGAGGTTTTGTGCTGCATGGTGGAATAATGGGTGAGTACGCCAGGGGGATTAGTGGGGATGGGGTTGGGGATAGTTTGCCTATTTGTGTTTTCCATGCTTTGAGCATGGTCTGTGTGTACCTGTTAAGTGTTGTGGGAATTTTCTTTAGTTTGTTTGGGAGGAATGGGTATGTTGTGGTGCAGGTATTTTCAATTGTGTCCCTCTCTAGGTGTACCCATTGTTTTGTCTCATCTTCTAGTATATATGGGATTATATGGCGTATTTGGTTGGCATTGTAATATGCTTCTATGTTGGGGATTCCCCATCCTCCTTCTGAGGTGGGGAGGTGCAGGTATTTGAGGCTTATTCTTGGTTTTTATGTGAGAAGATGAAAGAGTGTAGTTTTCTCTGCCAACTGCGAAGTTGGGTTGAGGGATCCAGATTGGGAGGGTTTGGAATAGGTAGGTTAGTTTTGGGAGTGTGATCATTTTGATCATGGCTATTTTGTCTGAGAGAGTGAAATTCATGTTATTCCATCTCTTTAGGTCTTTGTTAATTTGTCGCCACAGGGGCTTGTAGTTGTGGAGGTACAATTTGTTGAGGTTTCTGGTTATTTGTACCCCTAGGTATCTGAACTTGGTGTGGCAAAGTTTTATTTTGGTGACCTTCGTGAGTTCTTTTTGGGTGTGAGGAGGGGTGTTGAAGCACATAGCTTCTGACTTTGTAAAATTTACCTGTAGGCCCGACACCATTGCAAATGTGTTGAGTTCTCTGATTAGGGAGGTTGCTGTGCTTATGGGGTCTGGTGTTGTGACCATTAGGTCATCTGCAAAGAGCCCTAATTTATAGGTTCTGCCTTTTATTTCCACTCCCTTGATGTCTGTGGCTGCTCGGATGCTGATTGCTAAGGGTTCCAGAGCCAGGATAAATAAGAAGGGAGACAGTGGGCATCCTTGTTTCGTGCCTCTTTGGATAGCTATAGTATTAGAATCCATATTGTTAGTTCTGCATTTTGCTGAGGCTTGGGAGTATATTTGTTTGAGAATTTGTAGGAAGTTGGGGCCAAATTTCATGTTAGTTAGTACTGCTAATATGTATTTCCACTCTAAGCAATCAAAGGCTTTGAGGATGTCTAGGGACATAATTGTCAATGGGAGTTTGGTTGCCTTGCTGTGTTCGATCAGGTTCAGTAGTTTCCTGATGGGGTCTGTTATATTGCGGCCAGGGACAAAGCCAGTCTGGTCTGGGGCTACTAACTTGTGTAGGAAGGTTTTTAGGCGGTTGGCCAAGATTGATGTGAATATCTTGTAGTCTTGGTTTATTAATGAGATTGGGCGGTATGATTCTACTTTGAGGCTGTCTTTTAGTGGTTTTGGGATGGAGACTATTTTGGAGTGGGTCCAGGTTTTGGGGATGGGGCCCCCTTTTATGATGTCGTTGAATAGGCGGGTCATGTAGGGCATCAAGGGTTCTTTGAATTTCCTATAGAATTCTGCTGTGAAGCCGTCTGGGCCTGGGGCTTTGTGTGGTTTCAGGTTTTTGAGGACCGCATCTATTTCCTCTGGGGTGATAGGGCTGTCCATGAATTCCTGTTCCTCATCAGTTAGGGTAGGCATGGACAGTCCTGCTAGAAATTTTTGATTTCCTTCTCTGGTGGGTTATGGGAGGTGTATAGGTTGGAGTAGAATTCTGCAAATTCTGAGTTTATTTCTTCGGGGAGAATGTTATGTTGCCGTCTTTTTGGTGATGCAGTGTATTCTTGTTTTGAGTGCTTTTTTCCTGCATCTATTTGCTAGTAATCTGGAGTTTTCCCTCCATATTCGTAGAAACGTTGTTTAGAGTATAGAATGTTGATCATTGTTTTGTTAATTTCTAGGAGTCTAGTTCTCTCCTTTTTTGTTCCATAAGTTTGAGGAGTTTTTTAGATCCTGTTGTTTGTAGCGTGATGAGAGGGCTGTGATGTCTTGTTCTATTTTGCTAATTTTTGAGGAGGTTTGTTTTTAAGGAATGTTTTCTCTTTTATGCAAGCTCCTCTGGTGACCGCTTTCATTGCGTCCCATAGGAGGGGGGTTGTTATATTGTTTACATCGTTTTCCTTGAAGTAGTTTTGGAGGGTTTTTGTGAGACTCTCTCTAATTTGTTTGTTTGTAGTTAGGATGGGACTGAAGGACCATGATGGGGTGGTTTGTCAATTGTGTATTTATTAAAATATTTATAGACTACACTTCCACAGCAGGGCAGAAGGTGGAATACAGCATACAGAATTACAATAAGGAGAATAAAAATGTCAATTAAAACATCAGGTAAAACATCAATACTGGTTAGTGAAAAGAAATTCCTGTGGCAAAGGTCTGACTAAAATCATTTTTAAAAGGCATCCAAAAGGCAGCAGGAATGAAAATTGCCAAGTCTCTACTAGCAAGGAGTTCCACGGAGCAGGGCTGACACACTAAAGTCTCAGTCCCTAGTAAAGGCCACTCAAACTCCATGGGCATCGGGAACCACCAGAAGTGCCCCATCAGACGATCTCAGTGATCCAAACCAGAGCATAAGGAAACAGACAGAGCTTGTTAGAGATTATTTAAGAATGATTAGAGCTGTTGTCCAAAACATCTGCAGGTTGAGGAAGGCTGGTTCAAGCATTCAACAAGCCTCAGGAGGATAAAGAACTGCCAACACATTTTATTTTAGAAGCAATATTGAAAATTCTTTCCACATTCATTCTGGTTGAAGTCAAAGATTGTGTTTTGTGACTGCCTCTGCCACCTACTTGCTTTTTAAATGAACTTTTTGTTCAGGCCAGGTGAATGGCTTTTGCCTCATAAGAATACCCGCATAAGAATAGTGGAATACCCTAGGCTTACATGATAGATATAGCTGGCCCTGCTGTCTATCAATTGTTCAATGAACTAATGTGAAACAATAAGGCAAACATAGTTTAAAATAATGACAAGACTGGTGGCATCTCAAAAATCTAAAAATTTTATTTGGCCCAACCAGTGCTTTTTCCCCCTAGAAAAATAGGTGCAAGTAGTCACCATGAAGTTGTTAACACTAAGCGTCACACTTCTTAACAGGAGCAACAAAAGAGGTGCTAGTACTGCGTATCTTTGAGTACCCCCTGGGGGGGAAAGCTCTGGGCCTAGCCTATAGAGGACCCAAGCGCATGTTGTCAGATGCATGCAAGAAGCAACAGCCTTGCATCAGCCATAACCGATTCTGGCAACAATAACGAAACCATGGAAAGTTGTTTAGGTAACAGTTTACAGCTACCTTGTTACAAGAGCAATGGATTTTTTATGTGGGGAAGTATATCCATTTGCTACTGCTATTTCTCCAGAGAAAAACTGCAAGGTAGGAAGAAGGCAAGGGTGGAGAAGAGTCCTGAGGCCAAACCCCTTGCAACCTCTTCCCCAAGCTGGTGCTGCCCGGATGGTTTCAACTGCAGCTGACATCAGCTCAGCACAGGCACCAGGTTTCAGAATGGTGCCAAATACCTTCCAGAGTAAGATCTCTCAGTCTCTTTCTCTGCCCTCTTTCACATGCTAGGGAACAGTCTCTCGCTTTCATCTCTTTGCTTAGGTACACATTCCCCTTATTTCTTAGCTTCGTTCTCTCTCTTATGGGGAAATCCCCACTTCCTGTAATGGAATCCCAGTGTAAGTGGCTTCAACAGGGGAGCCACAGAAAGAATGTGGTTCATCAAGCTGTGGGCTCAAAAACCTCTGGGTCACCTTCTTACAGAAGCCATTAGATGTAACATCAGGAGACATAGGAGCCAACGCCTAGGGGCTGTGGTGGCTTTGGCCCCCACAATAAAATATTTGAGGGGCCTCCACAAAGTTGATGGGCCTTCCCATTAAAATGGTGTGTGTGCACTGCATCGTGTGATCAATTATGCGGTGTGGGGCTTACCTGGGCCCCCACAGTATTTTATTCAAGTTGGCTCCCCTGTCGGGAGACCCAGTTAAGAGCAGCAATTCCCTCCACCAGCTCAGGGTCTTGGTACTGCAGAAGACCCTTTCACCCTTTCCCTCATCTGCATGTCCCCTCCTCCCATAGTTCTATGCCCTGCAAGACAAAACATCAAAGATATATGGGCAACTTGCTCATGAAGAGCCTGGATTAAATTCACTCTCTAGCTAATCTCATACCTGTCATCAGAGTGATTTTTAAAAATCATAATAAGCAAAAAACCCAGCATGGTTCTCCTGACAGATGCAATATAGTCGCACAAGGTTCATGGATTAGTTCTCACTGCATTAGTTCATACTGCATTATCATTGAGTTTTGAAAGCAAAGCTGTTGCCCTCATCACAATCAAGTGCGCAATAATACTTTAATTCGGTATGGTTTAGGTGACATGGACAGCCCGTAAATTGGATTCAGATCTAGATGATCTTCAGGAGGTTTCTCCAGCCTCAGCTGCTGCAAGATGGTGGTGAGGATGACAAAGACTTCATTGCGGGCGACTTCTTCTCCCAAACATTTTCGTATTCCCATTCCAAAGATCAATACCTTCTCAGCCAAGCTCTTGTTGAGCTCTCCATTTACATTCAGAAATCTTTCTGGTTTAAACAAGTAAGGGTCTTCCCATAAAGATCTGTTGTGAAAAGGGGGGAACACACCATATTTTAGAGGTCCCAACTCCTACAAGAAGCAAAGCTGGCTGCTATAGTCAATGTAGGACACTTAATTTAAGTTATGCTTCACATAATTTAGCCACACCTAAGCAATGAAGAAAGCAATATTCCACTGACATTTTTAATTCAAATTTTTGGAAGCCCACTTTTAAAACGGAAAAAAAACAATGTCCCTTGTGGAGGCAGAGATGAATTTCAAATGGAACTGATAAAAGTCTTAAGCTTTATTTGATGAAAAGACTCAAAAGCAAACAGGAAGTAGAGATTAGGTCACCCA